CTGTCGCCAAGTGCTTGCTCAAGGGGGATTTGTTGGGTTTTCCCTATGTAATAATATTGATAACAGTAAGGTCTAGACCTTACTTTGTAAAGTGTCCTGAGATGCCTTTTGTTGTGATTTGGCACTATACAAATAAAATTTGATTTGATTTAACTTGTATACTGAGCTTCCATATGAATGCTCTCCGATTCTTTAGCACATTCAACTATGTATTATTGACTCACATCAAAGATGTCAAAGTCTGCTGTATTGTACAGGGTGGGCCACAGAAAAGTAGCAGGCCTCCGACGATAGTATGGGCAAGCAAGTGGATTGTTTTGGAGGCAGGCTACTTTTCTGTGGCCCACCCTGTACAAGGTTAAGGAATTTGTTGAGTAAAAATCAATTAAAATGATTACTGTCTATTATTTACTGGTACTTCTGTACATTTCATACTGTGTGGACATTTGAGGTAATGCATGTAAATCAAATACTAATACGAAGTCAATTTTTATTTTACAAGAGAGCTGTAAGAATATTAAATAAGGTAGATTATTTAGCTTCACCAAATAATTTATTTTCTAGGTTAAGGGCTCTAAAATTTCAAGATTTAGAGAAATTTAAAATCTTTCAATTCATGTATAAAATTGTCAGTAATTCAATCACATACAATATAAAAAAAATGTTTAAAATGAGAGTTAATAAATATATGGTACGAGTATATATGCAACTAAATGTTGTTCTTTTGTTTGTTTTCATTGGACAAACTAAAATAAGCTAAAAACTAAACTAAACATTTTTGCTCAGATGTACAAACTATTGTACTATTTCATTTTACAACCACATTTTATTTCAGTGGTTTCCAATAAAAATTTAAGGGGATCAATAGAGAAAGCAATAACAAAGCAAACAAATGTGCTACACAAAACTATGTCAGCCTAACCTTTCTCAAATCTTTATCTCTTTGAATTTCTACATTCTTCATACTATACTTATGACCTCTAAAAATTCTTCTAATGAAACCATCCCAGAAGAAAATGTCACATTTTTAGGTTGAACTGCCCACAGCTCTTGTGACAAATAGTTGTTCCTTCATAAAAGGTCTGGAACCACTGCCATAGTTGACAGTGAATAACCAGTTCAAACATACTTTTAACCAGAGTAAACACAGTTAAGTCTTGTTTCTGAACATACCCACAGTACTTTGGGTGATGCTCAGGTCTTCCTGTTTCGCTGCTGTTGCAACACTGCTGTTAGTTTCTTTGTTTGAGTCCTGAATGTTGCTGGTGGGCAGGATGAAAGTGTTGGACTCTCTTTGTGCCTGATCATCTCTTTCCTCTCGCTCTGTGGATCCATCACCTCTGGTATATGTGGTTAGTCTGAAATTACACAGGCTGTGAGCAGCAGTGGAAGGATGAGAAAGTTTAACAGAACGTTTTGTTAAATGTTGCCCAAGGACCTTTTCACTGACCTGTCTCTTGTTGTCGGAGGGGTTCTTTCTCTCTCCGGGCTAGACTTCTGAAACACATCAAACAGTGGTTCCTGGAAGGCTTTATCTGCAGAGCTGGAAGGCTGAGAAGACAGTTGGAGTGCACCTATCTCAGGCATTTCAGGCTGAGGCCTATCATCTGGGCTCTTCAACAAGGACAGGTTAGGGCTCTCTAAGGGCCCCTGCTGGAGGCTTTGTCTCGGGGCAGGAGGAAGCTCTTCTGACCCTTCCCGAGTGTCTAAGCTCAGGCCACTGCTTTCTGCCTGATGACTGCTATAGTTTGAAAGAAATTTCCTCTTCTTTGGCACTGGCCTTAACCCTACAGAGGAGCCCTCTGATGTGATAGAGCCCCCTGAATTCTGACTGCCATCACCTGCTGGGGCAGTCTTCAGTGGAGATTTGCACTCTGAGATAAACACAGGGGAAAGATAACAGGATCACTGAGCCATCATACATTTGATACTGCAACGCTATCACTATGTGGTGTGCTATATAATGTAGCCAATATCTGTGTCACAAACCCTGCTCCTCTGGTCCAAACCTCTGGTCCTTAATGGTTGGCACATCGTTATTTTCAGGTGGCTCATAAACAATAATGGAAGAACGGTCGAACGGGTTGTGCCTTGACTTGAAGAGAAAAAAATTATATAATTAATGTCTTACATTGCACTAGCTGCAACAGGACTGCTCAAAAAACGTTTGTAACACATGTGCCCACCATTCTTTGAGAGCGGCGTGCTGAACTTTGACTCAGTCCGTCTCCATCTCTGGGGAAAACAATGGAAATGTTTACTTAGGAAAGGTGAATGCAAAAGAAACACAAACTATAAGGTATCAGATGAAGTGCATTTTAACAAGATGTTTAAAATATATATGTGTGGATGAGTGGGACATCAAAAAGAAAGATACATGTCCAACCAATCTAAGCAAAGAAACTCAAAGTATGAGTATACACAATGACGGAAACTTGAAATAGCTCCTATTTTGTGGCTGAATAAGAGGATTCGTGTTAAATGTGTACAGTATATGTCTATAGCACAAAGTTACTTAACTACACATACATTTTATGTTGGTTTAATCTAACAAAGTAGGTCGTACACTGTATTCAGAATGTTGCAATAACTACATGTCTCTGGGACAAAAGACAAAATAAAATAGATCATTTTTATAATGGGTGAAAACCTGCTGGTATCCAAATCATAACCAAAGGTGGGAAGGCCCTGACCATTCTGGCATAACCTCAACACTGACGTCAACAGTCACTTCTCATTCAGAATAATTACACTATGCCATCAGCTCTAATGGGTTAAGCACCCTGCTAAACTGTTTTCCTTTCATACAGCAGCTCAGACCACATCCTGCAAGAGTGTGAGCAGTACAGTGGCTGCATAAAACAGATTCCAGGGCAGCACCACCTATGTTTGCACAGATTGAGTCACAAGACACCACGTGCACTGAATACACAAATACACACTGGCGGGGTGAGAAAGAAAGAGAGGATCCGCGTTTTTAATATACTCTGAGCTGGCACTTTATAGTAGATAACAGAGGATGACTGGGTTAGTGTGTAATTCTGATAGCTTCACCAGAAGCGAACACACACTTTACCATGAGATTTAAGAGCACTAACCCCTCAAGACCCTGTCAAGAATCAATAATGTTCAATCATTTTCACATGAAGACTTGACTCGCCGCCCCCAGAAATCTCCAAAACTAACAGCTTTCCACACCATTTCTCAGACCACACTGAACAAAGGCAACAGGCTAAACAGGAACCTGAAAAAAAAAGAAAGCCCAGAGCTATAGACTGGTAAATAAAGCTATTAATAAGAAAGGATTGCACACTTTATCTCCTGTGGCTTTAGTGCCTCCCAACTTCTGGCAGGTTTCGGTGGAGTGGCGACATTTGATCCTTGTGTGCTGGGTGTTTTGACCCTTTCAGCTGTAGGAGATCCATCTGCAGCAAGAAAGGAAAAGAAGCCGAGTTTATAAAAGTTTGTGAATAACAGTACTCTCTTATCAAAATGTCCAGTTTGGCAAAGCAGCACTAGTTTGAGGTTTGATTTCTCAGCACTCTGTATGTAATTCTGTCATTCAGTTAAATAGTGACACCTAAGTGAAACTGTATGGAGGTCAGCTCCTCCATACGGTGTCTTTGTGGTCCCAGTGATAAAGTGTGTGCAAAATTAACATTTAAATCCAGAATTTTCACAAACTGCACCAGTTTACTCTGATCTTCTCTGCTGTAATATATACTAAGTCCAATGTGTAGACTTTTGCTGTGACTGGTGTAGCTTGTAGAAAAGGTTAGATTTAAACTATGGTTTGGCCCCAGTCCGCCAATATTTTATCTTTCTGGAAAGAAAGCAGACGTGACGGATCATGAGAAGACACCTGAAGACAAACAAGTTTAAAAAAAATAGTAATAATAGTAATTTACAGAGTACTGAGGTTACAAACGGGGCCAGACTCTTTCTCTAATCACAAAATGTGGTTTAAAACAAGCCTTTGTCAACAGCAGTGAATAAACACACCAGCAGCTTTCCAGTGTTTCATGGAGGCCAAGATGATTTCTGAGCCGTGGATTTTATCCGTGTGTCTGCGAGATTTAACCTCGTAAAACCACTCCCCACTCAGGCACTTCAGCTTGGGTTCCGGGTGTGAGCCACCATCCAGTATTTTCTCCAGTTTTCTGTTAGGAGCACACCAAGGAAACATGTACAGATTCTTAAGTTGAGGGGTCTTTTTGTGGACTCATTTGTAGAGCATTTTGTTGATCCTCGCTGAGCGCCATTTCAATCGGAATGAAAGTTATATATGTACAAAAAGCCACTCCCTGGTGAATGAACAAATAATTGCTTTAAGCAGAGAGAATATGACACCATTTTAATTTAGTCTGAGCAGCACTAGTCTCTAAATATAAGGTTAAAAATAAAGCCAAGGGCAGACAAAGAACAAATCTATGCCACATAGGCATTCATCTTAGATTTTGGTTGGAAAATGCTAAATACTTAGGTTTACTTACTTAGGTTTCCACTCCCTGTTTTATATTCTCTCACTGATTTTATTTATTTCACTCTCATCTTCGTTCTCATTTGTGTTTGTTTCCTACTGTTTTTAATCCCCTACAGCTTTTTGTAACCTCGCCGGACACTTTTCTTCTTCTTCACCACTTCTGCTTTGAGTGCCTCACTGTCAGTGTTCTATAACAGGTGCACACGATTTATCTAAAGGGAAGGATTAGGAAAACATGTCCAAAATTAAGTTAAAATTGAAGTAATGAAAAAAAAAAATCAAATTCTGATGCTTTAAAAATGGCCACTCCAACTCTTCTTTCCTTTTGACATTCAACCAAAATGGCCATGTGGAGAAAGGGTAGCACATTACTACAGGCTGTTGGGTTAATCTTTCTACACTAGGCTGGTTGAGACACAGTGAGCATTCAGGGTTTCTATTTCTGTCCATGAGATGATCCTCTCCCATGTGTGGGCTTCAACTTGGCTGTCATCTCATTGCTTGTCTTGTATTGAAGCTTCATAGCAATGGAGGTAACATCTGTATGTTATTGTGCTTTTCCACTAAAGCCAGACAAATAGCATTTCAACTGGCATGTATACAATGCAGGTTATGGGCGGCTTTGAAAGAACCTATTCAATCGTTAAAATGACATTAGCAAAATAACATGACAGTCGCTTAAATGTTAGTCCAAAACATCCCAGCTCATGTAAAAGTAGAAAAGATCCCCACGGCAGCACCATAAAAAGTTACTCAAGGTCAGAATATAATTTTGATCTCTTTAATGAAATGTCATTAAACCTGATTCGGTCCTCCTCCGCCTTTTTCAGCTCAGCATCCCGCCTCAGGACCACCATTATCTTCTCCTGCTCCTCCTCCGTCAGGTGGCTCAGGTTGATCATGCTTCCTCCTCCTGCTTCCTTTTGGGTCTGTCACTTTCAAACAAAACACAACGCACCAAATTTTTTACCTCTTGGAAAATCATGTCGTGCTCTCACATTCCATTATTTCACAGCTATGTCATTGCTAAAAGGACGAGAAGTGAAATGGTCTTTTTGTAAAACTTTTGAAGAACTTCCTTTCTAAAAACATGCATAGCAAATATTAAGAGTTGCCAAGAATTCAGTAACTGTGTGAGTTGTTTCTAAAATAAGTGACCCACACCAGCACTCAATTCATAGATAACCAGTGAACTGCAGTAACTTCCATGTAACAGGCTTCTAAGATAATGAGTGGAGCGGCAGCCGTTATCTCCATTAAACCAGAAACACAGCTGCACTTAAAACTTTACTTGAGCATATCTATGCATATTCCTACAGTTTGGAAGGAAATATTGTATTTTTCCCCCACTATATTATTTGACACATATAGTTACTCGTTACTTTACAAATTAAGATTTTACATTTTAAAAAAAAATCATCTAGTTGGAGTCCAATGACACATTTAACATGTTGACGAGCTGTTTTTACATCCACCAAAGAGACGTTCCTACTCTAGGTCTTGATATCTTATGCATATTAAGAGCCACTGTACTGGAGTCAGATTCATTATGTATTCAACATATTTGGAAAATAAAGCTGATTTTAATTCCGATCTTTTCTCTTGGATTAATCTTCTGACAATTTGGTTCAGTTTGAAATGACCAGACAACATAACTACAACAGTTAAAAGCTGCTTATACGTTAATACAGCAGTTGAAATAATCTAATGATGTCATAAATAAACGTACATCAATCATAGGAGGTAATTTGCTGTAAAACCTTTTAGAAACTTGCAGTGCGTATGATTTTGAATGCATGGATAATGGTTCTGTGGGTAAATATTTACATAAAGGATCTGAGTACTTCTTCCAGCATCATAATGTACTCACATGCGTCTTACCTGCTCCTTCTGCATGTTTATCTAAGGAACTGGTTATTGACACAACAGGTAGGAGACTAAAAGACAGGTTGGCAGAGGTGTTGTTTCACCATTTCTTTTTAGGACTTTTATGGTAAAATAGCACAATGTAATGTATTGTTCAGCTGCACATGGCAGTTTTTAATCAGTATTCAGAAGTGATTCAAATATCTACCTTTAATTTCTAGATTTGTCTTAGCAGCTGCGAAGCATTTCTATATGGATTTTCAAAAATGAAGGTTAGAAATTATATTCATGTGACTGATGGCATCTTGTGGGTTATTTGAAAGAAGAGGCTACTTTAGAGCTTTTATAAATACAAGCAAACACTGATAAAGTGACATAAGTTCTTTCCTGCTTTTCCTACCCTCAGTAGCTTTGGAGACAGCTTGTCTTTAGGCATCATTTTACTTTCTGACTACAAGTATTTGACACATCACCTACCTTACAAGACCCTTGCGTTGTCCTCTTAAGCCGCTCCTGGTCTGTAACTACTGCTGGATGCGCTGCAGTTCCCAGACAGGAGGTGAGGGCGGACCCAGGATGTTTAGATGGGGAGGACCTGACATGTTGACTACTCTCTGCTGTAATAGTCAACTGTGTCCAGCAGGTGTCCCCTGTTTCCACCAAGCGGTACCAAAAGGGTGTGAACATCCCCACAGCCAGGCAAAGCACGGCCAGGGTACCCATCTGTACTTTTCAAGGCCTTGAAATGGTAGACAAATCAACAAGTCCTACTGTGACCCTGATGTGACTCCAGGACTTTCAGGGACATGTTACAGAGGGTTGAAAATCCAGCCTGGGACATTCTGGTGACCGGCTTGTAAAATGATAAACTCAATGTGGAATATTATTAAGATAGTTTGTATCTAATCCATGAATCTTTTGTTTTGTTTGTTTGCTGGCAAATAGTTTTAAAAAGTGAGAACTTGAGGTATATGCTATAAAAGTGGATAAACTATTTTTCGCAACCCCATTATGGTGGATTGTGTACTTCACCTGTTCTCACAGATTATAGCCCTTCAAGGGTGATTTTACCTTAGGTGGTGAGAGATGCACTGCCAAAAAGTGACAGTAAGATCCTAAGGTTTTAAAACCCAGTGCACTAGATATGATGGCAAAGTATTTGTAGCTGCTTTATACAGTATTTAAATTCCACAATTACTTTTTGCCTCAGGAGTCACTTGGAAGTTGTGTTGTAATGTGTGTAACACTGTCAACTGCCTCTTGACCTGGCAGCACAAGTGTAAAGATAAATAATTTATCAAGTGTTCATGAGGTTTAACACAGAACCAAGCAGTGTCTCTAGATTCATATAAACTTCAGTCATTAAATTCATCTAGACAAAAATATACATCTGTTTGTGGAAGCTGCTTTTTATTTGTAAAAGAAAGAAAAGACTTCAGTCATTGTCTGCTACACGTTCTAATTACATAAAGAAACAGTCTGCGGAAACAAACGCAGAGAATATCCTGAATCAAACTTAGGTAGAGTTAAAACTGATTGAATTGCTTTCATATTTCATACATCTTTCGCTTTTGCAATCAAAGAACAGTCAGTCTGTATATACACGGAGCACTGATCAACAGCGCTCCTCCTCTCTACCCTGGTCCTCTGGATCTTTTATACAATTAATTTACATCCAATCTGTGACCCTTTTCCCGTTAGTGCAGTGACTAGCTAACCGGCAAGTTGACACACTCTGTCCTCTCACCCCCACCCCCCCAACCTCAGCCCCACAGAGGAACTGTAGTGTGGAAAGATGTGTGCAACATGAAGACAACTCTTTCACATTCAGAGTAAAGGCAGCCTTGAATACGGTCAGTGAGTCAATGGCATGCCAAGCTTAAAGCAAATGGAGCCCACCACCCGGTGCGACGCTTCAGATCAGTGGAGGAAGTGTTGCTCAACTAGACAGGAAACTGATCCATTGCAAAAAACTCTAGGCACAGAATCGACTATATACTGTTAGCTGACTCATACCCCTGCACTTGAAGTACAATGGAGGTTGTGAAATATTTCATCTAGTAACAAATTTTCTTAACACAAAAGTCAGAATATTTAGTGCTCTATCATTCCGCTTAATAGGTGTAATTTATATAGTAGCTATTTTTAACTCTACCTGTCGATGATAGTCTGAGATCCTTGTTTAATGTTGAAGCACTCCCACGGGTGTTCGATGTACTGTAGGTTTTACATTATTTCCTCCCCCAGTCTTAAACTGATATTCATAAATAAATACAAACACACATAGAATGTCTACTGTAAACACGGTAAAAAAGACAAGAACTAAACAGGTGTAAACGTCATTAGCATCACTACTCAGTGACAGTTAAGGAACTGTAGGGAACGGGTGACTGATAATAGGATCAAGAAAGGGAAGGGCCGCTCTCCTCCTCCTCCTTCCACCCCCTCCCCACTGAACATCAAGCCTTACATCCAACCACAGTGTTTCCAAATACATAACATCAAAGTTTCTCAGCACCCAAGACTATCGTTACAGGTTACGCTGCAGAAAGAATAAGGAATCCTCTTAAGGGTGGGGGGGGTTAGACAGCAGCATCACTTGATGTCTCAGACAAGGTACAGAATAATGGGCGTGAGCTATCTCCAAACATCATTTGGACATTGTTACCATGGTTTCTGACAGTCGTTGCACCATTGTGTTCTTGACATGTCTATATCTGGGGCTGTGTGAATGCTTCTCTGACGTGTTAGCAACAAGGACAAAGCTTTGCTGCTAAGTGCTTCATCTTCTGAGAGACGCTTTCCTTCAAATTACATGAACTGCATCTGTAAGAAGCGAACAGAAAATGTTAGCTGAACGCTGCCATGTGAAGAAGCTGCTAAGTCAACTGACTGTTCACCAAATTCTTTCCACAGAACAGCAACAGTGTCCAGGCAGTTGTCACAGTTCAGGTGGTTTTTGGGAGGTAAAAACTGATTTGGAATAATTTGGTCTGTGTAGAGGTATTCAAACTGTACGAGATGCATAAAGGAAGACACGTAAGGCAAAGACTTGTGACATGATGTGGAAGGAGCAGGTGCATGCAAGCCTTCTAAAAACAACAAAACAGAAATTATAGGCCATTTGGCTGTCGCTGCCTTGCAGCAGCAGTGACTGTCGTGATTTGTGTCAAACATCAAGAGTCATAACTCAGCCAAATCTGAACACACAGACATGAAACTTATTTTTGGATTCAGTGTGACCTATACTTTCAGAAGAAGTCCCTAGTTCTCCTATAAAACAGCCAAAACCCGCTTAGAAATAAAAGACAAAAGGACGCTCCTTATAGCTCCAGAACGTATTTAAGAATCATCAGGTTTTTAAGTAACATGAGCATTAATGTTACATAGTCAAACACACTGGTTAGCTCTCATCCTAAGCACCGCTGCTCTGGTAAAGTAAAAACATTAGCTTAGCTAACTAGCTAACAGTTTTCATTGCAGCCAGTATAATCTGTAGTTACAAAGAAGACTTTTTCATCATATTTTGTTTAAAAATTGGTGTGGATTTTGATGGGAAAATCTGTCACTATTATCCCTGTAAACTGCAGACAGAGATTAACGAACAGTAAGTTAAATTTAGCGATGCGGCAAGGTTCAGAGAAATCAGGCCTGAGCAATGTGTGATGGCAGTGGAAGAACGAAGGGTCAGAACGATGGTGACTACGAAAAAGCAGCAGTAAATCCATCACACCAAGCAACAAAGGCCTAGATGATACAGAATAAATGAGAAAAAACATGCAGCATGGAGAAGACAGTATGAAAATATGTAAAAAACAAAAAGTGTATTCACAGTGGACATACAATGCATGCAGGTGCATGCTGTACCTAAAGAGATGCTCTACAAGAAATCCTTGAGAGAGAGGTGTGCAAACGGGTCCTGTCCAGGGGCTCGGAGAGGACTCTGGCTCGAAGGGCTAGAGGCTGCTGAGGGCTATTTCAGGAAGAAATACAGCAAGTAGAAGGACCACAGGAGAAGTCAGAACAGAAACTGAAG